TCCTGCTAGGGAATGTTTTGTTGTTTCCAAAATGAAATACGGTCTTGTTTCTCTGGCTGCTCACCTGACGGGCTGCCAGAGTACATAGTTTTCAGAGGTTTGGCTTTACTTCCTGAGCAGCCTCTTCATTGATTCGGCTGCATTCTGCTTTATTAATAAAATAAAGGCTATTGCTTCTGAGTACTTAAATTGTGTAACATTCATATGCAAATATATGTTGTGGAAACATTACTGATGTCTATTCTTGGAACTTTACTGCTGTAATGCAATTTTTAAAGCATTTTTATGGATAAAATTCTTTCTGATGCTGTGTGTAAGCGTATTCTGGAAACCCCGTGGTTGGCAGCAAGTGTAATGGGATGCATTTGTCCGACCAGATCGTTGCTTTCGTGCATTACTTAGAGAGATTCAATAGGATTTAGCTTACAAGGCTCCCAATGCCTGCTTTACTAGCTAAATGTTGACAGTTCAGTTGTTGTTGATACTTTTTGGTTAAGGAGTGATAAGGAAGTGCACAGGAGAATCGTGATACTTGTTTGATGTCTGGTAAGAAACTTGATCTATTTAGTGTTCGGGACTGGTTGGTGTAAACCAAGCTTTGCTGCCTTAAAGAGAAATATGTTCGCTTATATGACCTAAAGACCAAGCTTTATTGTATAGAAGATAATTAAACAAGTGAGCCATAAAGTGCTGAAACCGCAGCAGTTATTTGTGTGCAGGTAGATTAGATTATAGCATACACCTCTCCTGCTAACCCAGCTCTCATCTCACCTCTGTCTGAGCTCATGTAATTCACAGCTGTTTTCTCCTTATTCTGTCAGTGAACGTTGTGCAGTCACTTAGCGCTTACCCAGTGAACAGCACTTGTGTGATTTTGATTTGGACGCTTTCACCTCAAATATACGTGATAACATCTTTTGTCATTGAATGGAAGAACCTTAACAAAGAAGAGGAGATGAAATGGGTGCGAGTTCCTCCAAATATTAGTAAATATTATATCTATGGTGAGTGAGCACTTGAAAATATAATACATTATGATAATTGTTATGGAACAGAAAAATGTATTGTTACTGAGTGCTCTGATTCCTTCCCCCCCCACCTCTGTTCCTGATGAGCAATTCTTGATTATCATCAGAGGGCTGACTGTAAAGGATTGACTGTTGCATTAATAATCAGGTTAACAAAGAATGAAGCTCAGGAGCGCGTTCATTTTTTGTCATTACAATAAAATTAGTTCTGAAATATCAATTACACCAGCTAATTATCTAAGTTAATATGTGCATTCCATTTGCATTTTGGCTTTAATCTTAGAAATGTTTACAATAGCTCCATAAAGGTGTTAATTCCATGACAGAATAATGCTGGATTAACCAGTATAGATTAATAGTTTTAATCTTCTGATGTTAAAGATGTATCTATAAAAGATGGCTTTCATTATTCCCCTCTCTGGGCTTATCTAAACTCTGATACGTGACCAGAGCCTCTGTGGAGGTAAAAAAAAAAAAATATAATAGTTTTGATAAAGGATAATAGTTTTGATTCAAAAGGCTGATTTCCTCTTTCCAGATCACTTTATTCTGATTGAGAAGTACCAGTTCAGCCTGTACCCTGTGTTTGCTGGAGGGGTTGGCAAATCCAGAGCAACGGATCAGTTCACCAAAGGTGACTTATAGGATCTTTCTCCATGTTATGAAATAGGAGCTTGTAAAAGTAAACTTGAAATGCACGAGAAGCCTGTATCTTACAGAAAAAAATGTCAGTAATAAAGTGATTGTAATGTAACTATAAATAGTGATCTAGGCTTCAGTTGCTTTACTTTGAAAACTCTTTGTGGCATTAGTTGAGAGAAGGACCTGATTCCCGTGCATCTAACTTAATAGCTGAGATGCTAGGTCCCTGTGATTCTTCAGTCTCCAGTTGTGGACTGTTCTCTTACTTACGCTCTGGTTTAATTTCTTAATAGCAAGGGAGCAGTGGGCACCTCCCACAGGGATGGAAGAGTCACTTCGGTATTTAAAATAATTCCTTCCTTTTTGTCTATTTGTTCTCAAGGTAAAGGTTTGTTGATGTGCAATAAAACTGTTTATCAAGGGGTTTTTTTTGTGTTCAGGCTGTTGTTTCTACTGTTTGTTATTTCCCTATAGCAAACTCTTTGTTCACAGATGAATTATTTTACTGCATTATTATCTGAATTCCTTTTATTTCCAGGTGGATATGAAAGTGAGAATAACGCCAGCCTCTATGTGGTTCTGCCAATAGTTATTTCGACCTCAGTTCTGTTGGTTGGAACACTGCTGGTTTCGCACCAAAGGTAAGTTGTTTGGTGTCATATACAAGTCCCAGAAGGCCTGTAGAAGGTGATGCAGCTTAGCTGATGCCTGCCTGCTTTTTTCTGGGGAGAGAGCTAGAAATTATTTTTATCGTATATTTGATGTACTGTACTGAAAGGCAGTGGACTCTGAAATACAGCACCAAGAATTAAAGTGTCTTGAGTGCACAGGCTTGTTACCTTGCGCAAGTCAGACCAGTGCCCTTTCGGGTCTGGTGTCCTTGCAGTAAGATGATGATCAGCGCTGTTTGTTTTCTCTGGGAAGTATCACTTCAGCCTGTACCACGTACTCCTTACTCCTGCAGAGTGGTTTGTGGGCAAGTTAATGAGTGTCATGTGCTTTGAATTTGTAAAGCACTCTGAGTTCCATATTTAATTGTCATCACAAACTGAGCCAACTGAAAAAAATCCCTCTGGGTTTTGTGGAAGGTGGGTTGGGGTCATATTCAGCAAAGACTGCCTGTACCTTTTATGTTTTTGCAAAACTGCCACCTGGTACATCACTTTTTTATTTCTTTATTTTTTTCTATTAAATTTTGGCCATCTATAATATCTAAAATTATTGTTTCATTGTTGTAGTGTTCTGGATAAATAAAATCCCAGAGATTCCTTTTCTGACATAGCAAAGGTGAATGACAGCAGTACAGAATAGATGAGAACAGTACCAACTCCAGAATTTACCTAATATTGCAGAATGAAGAAACTGTTTTGGGAAGATGTTCCAAACCCCAAGAATTGCTCCTGGGCGCAAGGAGTCAATTTTCAGAAGGTGTGTATTTCCCTGGTGATGCTTCTTCCCCCGTCCCATGGGTCTGACTGCTGTTTGCCCAGTACTGAACGCTACCTATTGGTTAGACTGGACCCTACCTGACTGACTGAATGAAGCCACTTGGAGCCTCTGAAGTTAGCGATACAGCATTTCTCTCAGCTGTAGAAGGCTGGTATCTGGAAATGGGCCAGGACCAGAGACCAACACCTCTTTTGAATGTAGAGGGTGTTTAAATTTCAGGGCAATTAGTAAATCTGTTTTAGAGTCCCATTGGTATAATGTGTATGCACCTCAGTGAGTGCCACGTGTGTGTACCAAAGGCCAAATTCTTTGCTGTGGTAAACTGCTTTTCCATTTGGCATGTGAATCAGGAGCCTTTACATGGAGGCTTATGGTCCCAGAGTTTGAGAGCGTGTAATCATTGCGATAAGAATCTAAATTCAGGCCTGTTATTTCTAAAAGAAAGAGCATCTAATGGCAGCAGATTTTTCAGGTATTTAATTGCATTTCCAGTGAAGGTTTCTTTTCTCATCTTTTATTTCATTTCTTCCTATACAGAATCGTTAGAAGATTTTTCTATTTATATTCAGAAGACAGGAAGCCCAGATACAATACAATGCTGATTTGTTTAAATATAACGAATCCTGGAAGTAGCTCTGTCAAAAATCTAAAATGCCCTCGCAAAAATTAGGAGCAAGTGCCACTTTACAGACCAAAACACAGTTTGTCACTTGCACAGGCAGCAGCACTTACTTTAGATTTGGGGGTTTTAACTTTTGTTTTAGTGCCCTGCTGACTAAGGTTGTGACTGGCAAAGGGCTGAATACTTTCAAGCCCAGCCCTTCCCAGGATGCAGCCATGGAAGCAGAGACATCAGACTGGTTTGGGATTTATCCAGCTTGAGTGCAAGATCTGCCCAGTTATTGACTTCACTTGAAAGTGGGGTTTTATTCTGATTGAGTATTTGTTCTAATTGAGACCTAGCTTGGGAGTTGCCACTGTGACTCCAGGCACATCAAAGTGATCAAATCTCTTATTTGTTCAAGTGCTTGGTTGTCGCATTAAGGTCTTTTGAACTTTTAACATGCATTTGGGTGCAGCAGCAACTCAGAGAATGCAGAAACTGGGTGTGTGTTGTGCCTTACTGTTTTTTTGTTGGCTTGCTTGCTTTTGGCTTGCTGGAAATACCAATGTGCATGCTATTTATATTGCTTCTTCATTTGCTATCATTTAAACATGCAGCCACATCATTGCAGGTGCCTGAGTAATCTCTACCATTAGATCTGTGGTTGAAAAAACAAGCCAGAAATCCTCAAGGAAAATCTGATTTTGGTAGTGTTAGGGCTGTTTCTGCTTTTTGGGTTTGTTTGGGGTTTTTTGGGTTTGGGGGTGGGTTTTTTGTGGCTTTTTAATGTGCTAATGTACTTACTTGTCTGATGCACCATGCTGCATGTTTTAATGTTAAATGAAGCTTCTGGAAATCCTTCTGTTGGGGAGGTTGCAGTTGTGGTCGGGTGAAGAGTGGGTGTTCTCCAGCCCCGTGGCAGCAGGCACACTGGCTGGCGACAGCAGAGCCTGTGCCTCTGGCTTGGCCTAGAAAGCTGAGTGTGTGTTACTTGTGTGGTTTGTTAGATCCCAGACCAGCCTGACATGGCTGCATCCTGGGAAGGGCTGGGCTCTTTGAATAGCTGTTAGTTGCAGGAGTGCAAGTTGCACCCGTGCACCTGTATTTGCCTATTTCATCTTGTCATCTATAGCAAAAGGAGCCTATGACAATCTTTACTGTCCCCAATTGCAAAGGTGCATGAAATTTGCATGTTGGATTTAGCATGTTGGAAATGATTCTCCTTGCCGACTGGTAGAGCTGAAATAAGCGTATTAAAGTTGATGAAGTTTTAACTAGGAAAGGAGGGTAAAGCTGACACCCTGGCGATACTGCTTGACATTCATATGCTCGTTCTGTAATTAATGGAAAAGAAATGATGCATGCAAGTATGAAAGAAATTGACATCTGACATGATTTTTGTCAGCTTGTTATGCAGCAGAAAGCGTGTCTCATCCGTACATTGTACTAATCTTACCAGAAAATGTTGGTTAATGTTAATTGCACTGAAGGCACGGTGCCTGTCCTCAGATTAGCATGATCATCTCCCACTCACCTCGTGAGTGTCCAAGGCCAGAACACATTCTTCGAAATTGTGTGTTTAGGGCCAAATCCTGCTTTTGTGTGTGTGCGTGTGTGTAATTTCCAGTAGAAAAAACAGTGTACAGTACTGGTATGGTATTTTTCCTTAGCTGTAAGAGGCATTGATTACGTAGATAGCCTGTATGCCACTGCTGGGAAGTTCTGATGTCTTTCTTGAAGGCATTTGATGTAGAACTCCTGTCTTGTCCTGGTACGTATCAATATTAATTAAATACTTGAGTCAACATCTGATCATTACTTTGTATATTCAATATAGTACATTTAGTATTTGGTATTCCAGAACTGCCTTTATAGAGTGTTATTTTATCCTGATTGTATTGCTCACAGCAGCAAGTGGTTAAAATCATAACCTAAAACAGGCAAGACTTGCATCTAGGCTCTGTCTTGCAAGCCTTTATATGTATGCATAGTGTCAAAATCATTAAAATTCCTCTTATTTTCTCAATACAGTAGTAAAAATAAGCAAGTTTTAGGACCTAATGTTGGAGAAATTACTTAAATACAACCACAAATATTTTACAGGGAAATTAGTATCACTCTTGCAAAGACTCATACGTATCTAAATCACCCTCCTATGTCTGCGGGCTGATTTGCAATGTGTGAAGTTAAATGTATGTGAAAGTCAAGATCTGGTCCTGGCACAATTGGTCCAGTAGCATATTTTGATATATCTGTGTTCAGCAACTAGAGCACAAGGTGATTTTGACTTTAACCTGCCTCAGGTGTGGTAACTGGCTTACAGCTCAGAGGGAGCCTGTTGCTTATGAGACAAACAGAACTTAAACCCTAGACTGAACAGGAGAGCAAAATACGACGTTGCTTGAAATCCCTTGTTTGTTTGGATCTCATTTCATCTGGTCAGCAGTTTGGGAACTGGTGACCTGAGACTATGACTTTTCTCTGGAGTTTTATGGAACTACTTTGCCTGCTGTTTAACACAGTTTGTGCCCAAATTATACCTTACGTGCATGTGCTGTGGAAATACAGCACCATTCACCCAGCTTGCTCTGTATTGCTGATACGCTATAGTTTTACATTTTCTCAGGACGTTGGATTATGCATTGTGTTTGATTAAATATCTGACATGTTTTCATAAGTGATGTGCCTGAGTTGGCAGATGGTGGCCTTTGCCAAACAACGTTCCTGTCTTTGAATGTGATGTATTTAAACTTTGCAGGCAATAGTATCTGTATGTTTTTATACACGTATGCATTTATAAGAGCAGATACTGGGGGCTGGGGTGAGGGAGCAAGCAGATTTTGGAAGGAATATAAGCCATCTCTCTTCAGGATAAACCAGCTGCTGGTTGCAGGAGGGCAGGTGTATCAGGAGGAAACATGGTATTTTGGTCATTCAAAAGCTTCTCGATAATCTATGTCTCCCATTTGAAAAGGCTGCTGAGGGCGGAATACGCTGACTGGGCTGTTCCTCTGCTTTGGCACAGCAGTGCCTGTGTCGATTCATAGCAAACCTGTGAGAGGGAAGATGGCTTTCATCGGGCAATATAAGTTACAATCATCATGGCTCTATGTATACAGTATAGTAGCAGCCTCCGGCTCGTTTTGATAGCTGGTTCATTTTATATGTGGTTCTTGACATTATTTTGAAGACTAGGAGAGATTCCAGTGTGCAGGTTGGTTTCTGTGTGGGAAGGTGATAGGACTTGTGTGGGGCAAGTACCAAAGCAGTTAGAAACCTGCTCACCAGCTTTGCCATGTGCGGGCATCAGCGTTACTGGTAGCTAGTCTACACTAAAGTAGTAGCCTAAGATATGCAAGTTAGTTTACTCGTTTCTGTAATTGTATACTAGTCTAAGTATTTTGACATGTTCCTGGTTGTTTTGGCAGCTTTCCTGCTGTAAAATATGGTTTGCTAATGTACACAAAATCTGTTTTTATCATGTTTTGTCTTGAATTCATTAGGAAATACATGTTTCTCAAGTGATTTTTGCTTTGTAGCTGGGAGTTCCAGTTCTGCTGTCAGTTCATGCTGTCGTATATTTCACGTGCATATATATTAGTAGTAGTAAAGCATAAAGTTTCTCCAAAATAAATGTGTGTTTCTCTTCATGCAGTTCAGACATACACCTGCTATTCAGATGGGAATGCTCTAAAAATACTATGTAAAGGCTGAATTTGACCCTAAATAATATTATCCTAGCAGGGAAAGTTACTTTGGTTGACATGTAAATGATTCAGTCTGTTGTTTATACAATCGAAACACAAAGCCAAGGACATCTGAGGGCATCAGACCTTTATCTTGCAGAGCACTTGCGTGTGTTTTTTAACAATACGTGCATGTTTATTAATGTTGAAATGAATGGGACCATTCAGCAGCTTCTCTTTCAGCTTAAATGATACACTGCTTTGGCTGGAATGCTGAGTGCTTCACAGAACACTTGCTTTGCAGCACTTGACACACAGACAGGTTCTCGCTTTTTTTTGTCTTGTCCTTCAATCTTCACCTACACACAGACAAAGAGGAGAGGCAATGTGTTTTAGAGGATTTTCAACTATATACTCTTACTGAAACCGTGGGGATTTTGTCTGTGATTCCTAAAATCAGTAGCTTCGTACTGAAATAAATCTATTAAATAATAGATGAGCATTAAAATATATCTTTTCTTCTAGCCTGAAACTTTTGAGCATCTTTTTATCAAGCACCCCGAAGCAATGTCATTTGAGCCTCTTCTTCTGGAACCAGAAATAGTGCTGGAAGACATCAGTGTTACTAAAGCGTTGAAAAAAGAAGACACACAAGATTTTTTAGTAAATGATTCCATGTTTACAAAAATTCAAGACTCTGAGCATGACTCTGCTTGCTCTAGCAGCCATTTCAATAGCAGCAGCTTCTCTGAGAGCTCCCATGATGACCAAACCATTGGAGAAATGACAAGGCAGTCCGATATTAAATATGCTACTGTTGTCAGTAACTCCAGATCAAGCGGGCTTTACGAACAGAAAATGAATCTAAGAAGTTGTTTTGATAGATGCTTCTTAGCTGAAGATTCCTTAGTTACAGGTGCCTTCTCAAGTAGCTCTTGGGAGGTTGGAAATGGGGCGTTCCTCATATTACCTGACCCACCTAGCAGGCAGCCCAGCGAGACCCTTTCCCTTTCCCTTATTTCTTCAGAGGGATTTTCAGAACCTTCAGATCGGGATGAGACTTTCACAGACAGAGACAGTCCTGAGCACGGCCTGTATTACCTAGGGATAACAACATCAGAAAAAAGAGAAAATGACATTTTTTTGACAGAAGGTTCCGGGGTGATGTGTCAGTTCCATGCAACTGACCTACTCAAAGATATGGGCTTTCTTCAGCATACGCTTCCTAATTTAAATGCATTTATCCAAAGTAGCCTTAAGTATAAAGCCGTTGTGCCATACATGCCGCAGTTTCAGATGACTGCTGCCAAGGTGCAAGAGACTTCAGAGAAAAACTCGTAAGTCATCACACTATAATTTGATACTCTTAATGTTTTGGGGGTTTTTTTAGGTGTTGATACGTTTCCCTGTTTTTCCCTCCCCTGACTTCTTTCAGGAGCTCTCCTGTTTTGAAGCTGGGTAACTGGTTCTATAGTTGAGTGCCAGGATTTTAGTAGGAAGAAATTCCATTTCTTGACCTAATTTTCCAATGTGGGCCCTTCCTTTAGAGATTCGATTGTGTTCAAGTTAGCCTCTGGTGCCAAATTATCTAGTGCTGATGCCTGTTAGGTCTGAGCACCCCCCGTGAAGAACTGTGCTTTAAATTGGAGTCCATGCCGTAGGCGTTCAGGTGAAAGGATGGGATGTGATCCAGATGCAGCTGGTGCTAACACTGAGTCCTCAGGCTCTGTGCTAGGCTGTGGTCTGTCCCCAGGGCAAAGCCTTCGACAGATTTGTAAGCCCTCTGTAGCCACAGCTGGCTGCCACAGACATACAGGGCCACCACATTGCTCGTCTGCAGGCGGAGCGCAGCAGCACCTTCCAGCTGTCGTCAGTGCTGACAAGAGACTCTTCCTCCAGCTGGGGAGAGGTAGAGGAGTCGGGGCTTTTGCAGGCCTTGCTGTGGAGATTCCCAAATGCTCCTCCGGCGCTGGGAACGATTCAAGCAGCGTACACCAAAAGAACACAGCTCCTTTTTCATGCATTTACTGAGTCCCGATGTGGGTTGCACCCAGTTCTGCAGCAGTGGGCTTCTTTCAATTTCTTGTAGTCAAACACAACCACGTTTTCCACAGGAGTAGGCCCGGTGTGTCCGTTGGCGGTACAGACCCACACACACATTTCTGTTCTCTGTTTAGGAGTAAAGCAGCTCTTCTCTTCAAACACGTCAGCAAACGGCATTGAAAGAGCTTGCTCTTATTTTAGGGTTTGCTCGGGGACCCCAAGGACAAGATTGAAAGGAGTGACCTAATATGTAGATGGAAGCATGTACACGTGTGGTGTTTTGGGGGGAAAAAGCTCAAATGTGTCATTTCACTGGGAATGGTTTGGGACACTGAGTGCTACAGACTGAGTCAACCTGGACGCAGTGCAGTCACTGGACGCTCGGAAAGACTGCCAGGTCACGGTGCATTGGTATCTGCTTGGACTGGTGGTAAATGGCCGCACTGTACAAATACCAAATGTATCTGTTAGGCTTTTTTTTTCCTCCAAAATCCTGATGTATTTATTGCTTAGCTGACGTCTGTCTTAAATTGAGCCTGTGAATACATAGATGGTCCACATGAAAAAGCAGTTGGAATGCTGTATTTCAGCTGTTGAAAGGAGGCCCTGACCAATGATGGCAAACTTGTGGCTGCTGTTACGGGGTCTCTTTTAAAGTAAATTGAAAATATTCGTCAGTAGCATCAAAGAGCTGTGAAAGAAACCGTGAGGTGAGAGACACGTGCTGAACAGTGCATCAGTGTATAAAACACTCCCCGCAGAAGTAACGGTTCCAGGAGCTGAAGACTTACAGTACTGCAAGAAGAGGAAGAGAATCAAAATTCTTGTGGCTACGTTAATTGTGGGGTGTTATCCGGGTACAACGATGTACTTGGAAGTAAAATGTCCACGTTTTTGTTGTTGAACATGGGATTCTAGCACAAATGGTACTGCCACAAAACTCACATCTCTTCCAAACCTCTTTCTGAAGAGCCCACAGTAGAAAAGGCAGTAATTAGATCCAAGGACCCTGTATTTTTGATCTTCGGTGAGCTAGCCTGGCTGTATGGACTTGGAGAAGTCGGTTTGCCTTCACGAGCCCTGCTCCACTCAGCTGAAAAGTTCAGATGGGAGGAAAATCAGATCTTGCATCTCAGCTGTATTTTCTGGGATAAGCAGGTGAAGGAAACCACACTTATTTGCAAGCCAAATATATTTTTTTCTACTTCATAGTTAGTAAATATTTTTGTACACACGCCTTTTCAAGGAACTGTTTTGAGGCGCTAACAAAGATGGATATATTGTGTATTCCTAAGCTAAATTTATGTAAAACTTATATAGGTGATTGAAAACAAAAGGGCAAACCCCAGCAACAATAGTCAATGGTAGGAGAGGTGTGGAAACATTTTAATGTATTAATGATAAAAAATCCTATGGAGCAAAAGGGACCAAAGCAAATATTTATCTGCGCTTTGAATTTAACACAAGCTTTACCAGAAAACCCGTGCTTTTTCTCAAACGAGCTGCTAACCTGGCTCTTGCTGGGTGTCTCTGTTTCTGGATGTTGAATGTGACACAAATCTAATGTACGCATTTCAAAAATACTATGTATGGCGGGGCGGATTAAAACATGGTTTGTGTTAGTAACCAAAACTCCTTGTCACTTGAAAATGTGGTTGAAGGCTGCAGGGTCAAACCTGAAGTCTTGAAAAGGTTCCTGTAGAGTTCCAGGGGTAATGCTGTGATTGGCACCCAGGTGAATACTAAGTTTAGAATTCATCTGAAGAAAGGAATTCACTCCTGCCAGCACGTGAACTTGATGTGGCACAACCCCCAGGGTCCAAAGAGTGCCCCGGCAACGGACTTGGGTGTTGGATTCTGCCTCTCCTGACGGTTTGTCCACCAGATCCAACATCCCCTGAGGTCTGAAGATGCAGGGAAACTAGCATAGGTCGGCTGCCACACCAACGCCCCCCCCCGCTAATGCCCCAGGGATCCCTCATGTGGTGCAACTGAATTTGGGGTGGAGGACCTAGATTCCTGCACGTCAGCCTTCTTGTTAGCCTGGGATGCAGAGGTAACGGGAACTATTGAAATGCTGTTTTGTGATAGCTGCCGTAGTACAAACACATCGCCGCCTGCTTGGAGGAGAGGCCCCCCTCCCGGTGCCCCTGCAGCACGCCCATCTGCTGAAACGCCTTGCTGCGGGGAAGTGAAAAGGGTAGCGCAGTCCTCTGTAGGCTGGAGTAATAAACTGTGGTTCATCATGAGGTTTGATTTTCTTTAATTACAGTGCCCAGAAAAATGACTTAGCTGCGTTTGAAGATCGTCTTTCTCAAGAAATTAAAAGCTCACATTGATTTTGCCATACAAAGTCCTTTTCCAGTAACTCTGTAAGGAGAAGAGTACCGTTAACCACAGGCATGATCAGCTGAGTGAACCAGCGAAGGCTTTTCCGGGAGCATGGGAAAATGCAGGAGTTAATCTTCTGTCCCCCATTGTGGAGGACTCTGACCTGTGTCAGAGCTGATGGCAGGAGAGCGTTTGCAGCCTGGACTTGCTGTGATGCTTGCAGCTGTGCTCGAGGCCTGCTGTGTTAAAAAAGCAGCGCAGAACGTCTTCCCCCGCTGGAAGTTGGTAGATTATCCAGATACCGCCATTTTCGGGAGTCCAGCCCATCCTCCTGGGTGCCTCTCTGCCCTCCCATCGTGTTTTTTTCCTAATGGCCAAAGCAAGTGGTGCTCCTTATTAAAACAAACTGATGTGGTATTTACAAAAATCCCTGCTGTGAATGTAAGAAATACTGCAAGTATTAGCTGATCTCTTCTGCTTCAGCAAAAAGAAAAGATTTTAAGTACAATTACTGTAGAACCAAGCAATTTAATCCCTTAATGTAGGCGTGCCTTTTCTCAAGCGACTTCCACACCATGTCTCCAATCCCTAAGTTTCTGATAGTGCAGGTAAAGCCGGGTCCTGACCCGTAGCCCAGGGCAGGATGCAGCTGCATGAGTTTATTCAATAAATACTTCCTAAACCTGGCTCTCTGTCTGGCGTTTTCATCTGTATCGAATGGACATTCAATCCTGCTCTTCACCTTTCTCCACTCATGTATAAAGCCAAAATCTACATATCCTGAATCCACCATCTGCTGCCATCTGCCTCTGCCCTGGTCTCTGGTTATGGTGTCAGCTCCGGCCGCTCCTGCGGCAGCATCTGCCTTCGGGAGAGGAAATTCAGAGCTGGGGTCAGCTACCGCATTCTTTTCTCACCATTATTTTTTTCCCTCAACTTCAGGTCACTTTATTTAACAAACCTGAGTACTTCCCGTGCCATGTTGGATTACAAGTGTTTTATTCCGTGTTGACAGCGGCTCCTCCTTTCACGGGGCAGCCACTATGCGTGCTTTATGCAGGAACAAAACCTCATTTGCTTGTTCCTGAGGCAAAGAGGGGCAGGTGCGGTGCCTGGGCCAAGGCATTTTGTAAGGTAATTCTGGAGGGCTGTTTGGCCTGCAGAGCTGCAAGCAGGCAGCCCTCCTGCTCCCTCTCCGCGGATTCACGCCTGGCGCTCCATGTCACGAGAAGGGCCGGGCCAGCGGGCGCCTGGCCTGCTGTCGGGTCTGGATTTCGGTTGTTGGGAGACATGAGGCTCAATTCCCCCTGGAGGTACTGGAGACACGCTCCACCCGCAGCAACGGAGTTTTGTTTGTGCCAGTAGTGAGTTTGAGCGTTGATTTTTCAGAGCAGATACATGATTATTAAGTGCACAGGAACTCTAAACACCATGCAGCAAACACATCTGCAGTCAGGCACGTTTCTTATGAAAGTGAAATTTAAATACACCCTTGCACATTTAGAAGTAAAGTTATCAGAGGAGAAAAACTTCTGTACTAATCTCCTAAAGAAGATTTTTCCCGAGAGCTGGACTGTCGTAGCCAGAATAGGAGCTCCCACTTGCTTCAAAATGACTGCTGCAGCGGCGGGTGCCAAGGGGCACAGCTATTTCACCCAGCGAAGGGCTGGAAGGCGAGGTTTATGCCGGGAGCTGTGTGCTCGAAGCTGTCTGAAATGGAACTGAGCCAGGAGTCCACGCTCGGTGCCGCTCCTGGGCTCTGGCCCCGTCTTGGCAAGAGACCCAGGAAGTCCCTGCCAAGAAACAGGGAGAAAATAGGGAACAGGGTCAGGCCGTGATCTGCATCGGAGGAAGAGGGTTGCTAGGGGTAAGGCGCGTTTCAGCTGATGACCTTCATCTTCATCTCTGGCCTGACGCAGTCCCCTCCAGCCTCAGCCACTCCTGGGCTGGGTGCCTGGGAGAGCCGA